GTGATGATTTCTGATAGTTTTGTTTTGGGTCCAAAAATCGAATACTAGGAAATTACCAAATACAATATGATAGAATACTTGTAAAACAATGAAATGAGCTAATGAACAGCTTCCGGCGGATTTATGTGAAAACTATTGCGGATTTGGGAAATCTCATAAACCAGAAGATAAATCACTCAAATCTTAACATAACGTAAATTGCTGAATTGTCCAAGTTTTACTCTTTAAATATTAAATTTTTTTATTTTTTAATACATTACTCATTTTCTTGTTAAAACTTATTTAAAACCCGTTAAAAAAGGCCCACCCTGTAAATCCTTTAAGGATTCATAGAAAATTTCCATGAATCTACTTACGCTTCACTTGAAAACTATAATAATACTTAAACTAAACAAGGAACTTTCCTCTGTACTGTATCTACTGCATACACGGAGAAAATTCTGCTCAACTAGCAACAATCAACACAAAACTCAGCTGATTTACGCTCTCTATAGGCAGGGTCTTGAAACTCACCTATTTAGAGGGGGAGGGGGGGGGGCGAGGAAAAAAGGGGGCTTGTTTTTTAGCATGATAAGTAAATCATGCTTTGGTTATACATTTAAGTTCAATTAAAATTCTTCATAAATTCTTCATAAAGATTAAACATGCTGAAGAAATGAAACCCTGCAACTAGTTTCATGTTTTTTATCCAGAACTTTAAAGATATAACTCAGATATTCTTTCATTGTCATTCTTATTTCTTACTCCCGCTTCTATTCTACTCTCTACTCCAACATGTTCTAGTTCTCTCTACACCAACCTATTCTACTCTCTACTCAAACTATTCTACTCTCTACACCAACCTATTCTACTCTCTACACCAACCTATTCTACTCTCTACACCAACCTATTCTACTCTCTACACCAACCTATTCTACTCTCTACTCCAACCTATTCTACTCTCTACTCCAACCTATTCTACTCTCTACTCCAACCTATTCTACTTTCTACTCCAACCTATTCTACTCTCTTCTTCATCCTATTCTACTCTCTACTTCAACCTATTCTAATCTTTAATCCAACCTATTCTATTGATTCTATTCTCTACTCCAACCAATTCTATTCTCTACTCTACTCCAACCTATTCTACTCTCTACTCCAACCTATTCGACTCTCAAAACTCCAACCTATCTACTCTATACTCCAACCTATTCTATTCTCTACTCCAACCTATTCTTCTTTCTACTCCAACCCATTCTACTCTCTACTCCAACCTATTCTACTCTCTACTCCAACCTATTCTACTCCATATTGCATTCCATTCTAAACTCTGCTATCAAAATTTTTCTCTGATTTACATTTAAAAAATGTATTTATAATTTTCATTTTGGCTCATTGCGAGCTTTAGAAGCATGAGCTTTGCTTTATAATGCAATATTTTTCCTGCAAAACATAAATTCAGTTCAGAGGTTGAAACTTTTACGTGGAAAATTGTTAATCTTGTAACCTTAATCTCAATACCCAATCATGTAAAGTCAATTTAGTTTAATATCGACCATGTGCAGTCCCTTTAGTTTAATATCGACCATGTGCAGTCCCTTAGTTTAATATCGACCATGTGCAGTCCCTTTAGTTTAATATCGACCATGTGCAGTCCCTTTAGTTTAATATCGACCATGTGCAGTCCCTTTAGTTTAATATCAACCATGTGCAGTTCCTTTAGCTCAATATCAACCCTGTGTAGTTCCTTTAGTTTAATATCGACCATGTGTAGTCCCTTTAGCTTAATATCGACCATGTACAGTCCCTTTAGCTTAATATCGACCATGTACAGTCCCTTTAGCTTAATATCGACCATGTACAGTCCCTTTAGCTTAATATCGACCATGTACAGTCCCTTTAGCTTAATATCGACCATGTACAGTCCCTTTAGCTTAATATCGACCATGTACAGTCCCTTTAGCTTAATATCGACCATGTACAGTCCCTTTAGCTTAATATCGACCATGTACAGTCCCTTTAGCTTAATATCGACCATGTACAGTCCCTTTAGCTTAATATCGACCATGTACAGTCCCTTTAGCTTAATATCGACCATGTACAGTCCCTTTAGCTTAATATCGACCATGTACAGTCCCTTTAGCTTAATATCGACCATGTGCAGTCCCTTTAGTTTAATATCGACCATGTACAGTTCCTTTGGTTTAATATCGACCATGTACAGTTCCTTTAGCTTATTATCGAGCATGTACAGTCCCTTTAGCTTAATATCGACCATGTACAGTCCTTTTAGCTTAATATCGACCATGTACAGTCCCTTTAGCTTAATATCGACCATGTACAGTCCCTTTAGCTTGATATCGTTTTTACAGTTGCCAAAACAAATAAACATTGACGTTAAGCAATTTTCTAAATTTTTTTTCGAATTGAAAATTTTATTTCACGGTGAACTGTTTTGTAGTATATTTGTTAACCATAAAACTGCAGCGGAAGTAGAATTCTAAACCATTTACCCGGAAAATTTAATTTTAAATAAAAAAGTTATAAATTTGAAAAATTATTTTTTAAGTACTTACTTTATAAGTCAGCTCTAAACAAACTATAGAGATAAGAAAGATTAAAAAAATATTCCTGTTGGATTGCCCCTTAAGCATTTTTTATCATTTTGTGATGATTTCTGATAGTTTTGTTTTTAATAACATAATTTAAGTTTCATAGCTCGCTCATGGTCCAGTAACCAAAGCAAGCATTGTAGGTTGATGAACACTTTCTAGGGATTTTTTTTCAAAAAGATTCATAAAGGTTCCATATAAACCTTTGTCTGATCATTGATGAATGAGATTTTCTAGTTTTTTTCGAGATGAAAATTGATATGTTTCCATAGCAGTTACTAATGTACAGTAAACTGTAGGTTTACTAATGTACAGTAAACTATGATTACTGTAGGTTTACTAATGTACAGTAAACTGTTATAACTGTAGGTTTACTAATGTACAGTAAACTGTGATTACTGTAGGTTTACTAATGTCCAGTAAACTGTTATTTCTCTAGGTTTACTAATGCCCAGTAAACTGTGAATACTGTATGTTTACTAATGTCATGTTAACTGTGATTACTGTAGGTTTACTAATGTCCAGTAAACTGTGATTACTGTAGGTTTACTAATGTCCAGTAAACTTTTATTACTCTAGGCTTACTAATGTCCAGTAAACTATGATTACTGTAGGTTTACTAATGTCCAGTAAGCTGTGATTACTGTAGGTTTACTAATGTCCAGTAAAATGTGATTACTGCAGGTTTACTAATGTGATTACTGTAGGTTTACTAATGTCCAGTAAACTGTGATTACTGTAGGTTTACTAATGTCCAGTAAACTGTGATTACTGCAGGGTTACTGATAACATGATAGAATTATATCTCCAGTAATATAAAAATTTCCAAACAGTGCACAGTGAACGCTACTCTAGCACCTTGAGTTAGGAAACTGATACTTTTCACGCAGTCCGAACATTATACAGGGAGACCCATAAAACTGTGGAATAGGAAGTCGATGTTTAAGTATTCTTGTGAGTTTTTTATGCTGGGCATATAGCAAATAGTTTTACAAGTTGCTTAAAAACAATCTTGTTTAATTTAACGGATCTGTGTCAACTGCAAAATCTTTGTTGTTCGTTTGAGACTATTTAAACTCATAATTTGAGTCCATCAGTCGTCTTCCCTTTTCTACAGTCTAATTAGTCTCACTGTGCGTAGATTATATTTGAAAAAAAACTCTTTGAAAAAGTTAAATTAATAAGCAATTAATTTGTTTGGCATTTAATGATCAAAATTTTATATTTTTTTAGTCTAAAGAGGTAACTTCTACTTCTAGTTCTTTTTCAGTGTACTTCTACCCATAACTCCTAATAAAATGTACCCGGACCCATGAAGCCTGTTGGGGAAAGATAGAGTGTATAAGAGACTAGGAGAAGAGAGTCAGTTTAAAGATAACTCATGAGCAACATATGTGAATCCGTCACTACATTATAGTGTAGTACCAGGAGCGAAGATAAACACTAAACCCGTCCCTCTCACTGTTCTATCCACCCCCCGGAGCTAGTTCTCTCATCCTGAACCTGAAAAGATTTTATTAACTATTGTGACAAGGACGAGAAAGAGATGAGAGATAAACAGTTTTTTCTTATCCGTCCCAGCTCAGCGTGTGAACATTAAACAAGAATATATTCAATAAACATTTTGTTTCTGTGAAATTTTTCTGTGATACCATGTCAGAGATTGAAAAGGTTTGTACCAAAACTATAATTTAGAATCAGTCCCAAAAAAATCATTATTTTAAATAATTTTTAAGTGCAATTAGAAGTCTAAAGATCCTTAAGTTATGTAAAGGCATTGAGTCTTTGCCACAAACTTTGATTTTTGGATCCCATTATCTTTGCAACCCAATGTCGTAGACCCATGATATTTCAAATTATGAATCATGTAAGACCAAATAATCTAAGTTTAAAATATCAAAGGTTTATATATCTTTAGGTTGAAAATATATAGAGATTAGAAAATTTGAGCTTGTGGCAAAAACTCAATTCCTTTGACAATGAAATGTTTCCGATGACACCCTGGGAAAGCTCTAAATATTTGAACTTGAAGCTCAATAGTTTTCATTTTCTTAGTTCTCAGTCAAGCGTTGAAAGTTGCTTTCTCAGTTCTATATTCTGAATGCACTGCATATATAAAATTGTAGGGATATATAGATCAAACTTTGGAGTTACAAGGAGGAAGGGGGAGGCGGCCCCCTGAAAGACCCCCCCCACCATTTTCATCATTTCATGTCATTTCATGTCTGTAAACCACCATTTCTTGAGTGGCAATTCCGATTCACAAGAATACTCTGTGTCTATGCAATCAAAATGGCACTGAGACATGGGTACTGGAATAGGGTAAGGTAGTCATACCAGAGGCGCAACTAGAACTTTTGCTAGGGGGGGCAACATATTATTTTGTAATGTGTTGCATGCAGATTTGGCTGTGTTCAATTCAAATCGATTTTTTGTTCTTGTGTTTTTACAAAAGTTGATTCTTTTCCACAAACTTGAATATTCCAGTACCTTTATCTTTGCAACCTGGCGATGTAAACCTTTAATATTTCAAACTTAGATTACTTAATCTAACAGAGTTTATAGTTTGAAATATCTAAGGTCTACGCAGGGGCGGAGATAAGGATTCTGTAGGGGGGGGGGTACAAAAGTTTAAGTTGGTGCGCGATGCGCGCCGAAATTTTTTTACCCCGCCTAGAAATGTGTTTCCCCCCCCCTAGAAAAATATCATGATGTATATCAAATTATTGGTTTAAATTGGGTTTGATTTGCATTTTCCACTCATTTCTGGGATTTACAAACTCAATCTAATAAAGGTTTCGTTATATACCTTTCAGCTTTCACCTTGTTTTATACCCTTCATTATAGTCATTCATTTTACATTAACTACAAAGATCTGTAAAAAAACTGAATTTATTTTATTTTAACTAAAATTTTTTATTTTAAGTTTGCTAGCAAACATTGACAAAAAAGGCAGTAATATAAAAAATAATAGTTTTACTACGATGAAAAAGATGTAACTTTTTTAAATCTTTAGAAAAGCTACTCTGCAAAACTTTGAAAAAATATGGTCATTACTCATCGTTAAATTTTCTTGTCGTCAATGTAGTATGTTAAGATCTTAACGAAATCTAATATGGAAATGACATTATTTAGAAGTAAAAATGTTTTTTATTGTCCATACCATTTTTTTCTATTAAAAAAAAACATCTAATTTTAATGGCATTGACTATTACTTTAGAATTTAGAATCATTTAGAATATGTTGACTTAAAATTTGAAATATCTGATTCCGACGTATCTGCACAGTGCACATTTTAATTGTTTTCGTGCAAAGGAGTTGAGTTTCTGCCACAAACTCTGATTTTCTAATCTCTTTATCTTTGTAACCCAATGTCGTAGAGCTTAGATATTTCAAACTATTAATACTTATAGATAAAATAATCCAAGTTTGAAATATCAAAGGTTTGCACAATCAGGTTCCAAAGATATTGGGATCAGAAGATTTGAGTTTGTGGCAAAAACTCAATTCCTTTAAAAGATATTCAAATTTAAATTCAACCTTTTTTAAAAACAAAAACAAAGTAACAACTCTTTCCTCCATTAAAAAGTCGGCGCGGCTTGGCGCTTAAAAAACTTGTTCAGAATTTCTTTATTATTGATTGATTTTAATCTACTAGGATGGGAGTGCATGATTGCAAGGCTAGATAGTCTTTCTGTTTTCATGGTGTTCCGCAGCCATGTTAGCAACCTAACTATCAATATACATAAGTTCCGTTTCTATTTTTTGTTTAAATTTTAAACAGTTTTCAAAGCTTATCAAATCAAAATCAAAACGCGCTGTTGCTAGGACTGGCTAGGGGGCCGAGCGCCGCGGCAAGGCAAGGCTAGGACCAGGGGGCCGGGCGCTCCTTCAACATGGTCAATTATATGATTATATCCATGAAAATAGTCGTCTTTACACAAGTGCAGACAAATCAATAGGGAATGTATTTTTTTTTGAAGTTTCTAGCTTCTGTACCTTACCTACGTCATAACCCGGTACAGGGCACAAAGTGGACAAGCTGGTCCTAGAACTGTCTTGGGATAAGATCTGTTGTAGGCGAGTATACGCATAATTGTGATTGGCATTTCTTTGGCGGACTGGGAATTCTCCACCAATAGTTTTAATCAGTGACGTCAGAGGGTACAGATCTTCCCCCCGTACCGTATCGACCTTTCATTCGTGCGCGAGCCTCGTAGCGATACCCTATTCCAGTACCCATGCACTGAGATAATCTTAACACGGGCAGCCGTAGTCAACCTTTGAATTTACGAGCCGGGTCAACCTTTCCCGTTTTCTGTCCCAGTTTGTACTGTACCTAGCTCTATGGGCAGGACAAGCCGGTGCAACAAGGTTAACGCGGTCAGACTTTATCCTTCATATAGGCTGAATTTACTTTTACTAAAGGGGCAGATTTGCGTGTTATTTTTTTAGCTGAAAATTAAAAGAGATTTTTGTCAACAATGATCAGACAAAGGTTTAAAGGGTATCGGTGTGAATTGAACATACGACTCTGTAAATGAAGGGTTACTAAAAATTTCGTTTTCAATCCCTTGAGACATACAAACCCAAATCCACCCCTTCTTGACAAAAGAATAGTTGCGCCTAGAAATAAAGCTACATGTGTGTTTGTATCCGGAAATGTTTATTTGTTTGCTAGAAGAATGAAGTCTTTGTTTTCAAAAAATGATCTTCAGTATATTTCAATTTAACAATATTCTTGTTAAAATGGAAACTTTTAAAATTTATAGATAACAAAGAGACGAATATTTCGGAATATATATTATATATCAAATAGTTTGGAAAATATACATCATGTTCGTTTTATGAAGCATGATTAGAAAAAACGGTTAACATCTTTAAAACGCTAAAATAAGCGACTTTTTATAGTTCTAGGGGTAAAAGCTGAATAAAAAATTATGTTTCATTAAGTTTTATTAAGGGATTTTTATAATTTTCAAAAATCATGAAATATGAAAATGAAAAAAAAATTTAAACAATTCGAAAAACTCACATTTTAAATTATTTTATATATTTATCTTATTTTCTGTAATAATGAATATAATTATTTTTGCATTGCATTATAAATGAAGAAGAACAAGGGTAAAAAGATAAAAATATAGTTTATAGGATTTTACGTAAACATTTAAATTTAAAACTCTTACTGCCAGGTTATATCAACAAGGGGAATACTAAAATATTTCTGAACTGTTCATCGGAATATTTTTGGTAATCATAGTTTTTTTTTTAAATTTTATAATTTTAATATGATTGTTTATTGAACTTTAGATCGTTTTTAAACAAATCCCAACCCTACTCTCTAGCACTAGAATTATATCATTTTCTTCTCAATATTTTTCGCCAAAAACGTTGGCATCATCAGGAGTTCGTCCTATAATATAACAGATATAATCAAAAAAATAAAAAATAAAAAATTTTTTTACAAAAAAAATTCTTTTTTAAGACAGTGAATATACAAAATAAATAATACAAACAAAGCAACTCGAATAAACAAAGAAGAGAACAAAAATAAAAAATCTTATGTAACCTTTACAATAAGGAATTTTTCAAAATGAATATTGTCAAAACACATAAAACTTAAAAGAAAAATTACCTGTACCTTACTCTTTTGAAGAGTATTGAGTGACTGGAAAAGGATTGAGTAGTTTATTGAACTTTTTAATATGTTCTATTAAACATGATAATTTCTTGATATGTAAATAATTATAAATCATGTTCATGTTCTTTTAACAAGTATAATTATTGAAACAGTGATAAGTCCTTGGGTTTCAAAAATGTGGTCTGCAACCTTAAATTCTTAATAAAAGTTTTGTCTTTAGATAGAATATAGTTCTTGCCACAAACTCAAATTTTATAATCCCTATATCATTGTAACCTGTTGGTGTAAACCTTTGATATTTCAAACTTAGACTACTTGCTCAAACAGGATTCTACGACATCGGGTTGCAAAGTTTCTTGAATCTTATTTCTTCAATAAACCTGATGACATTATGAATGTTAAAATATTTTGACATCAATTGTATAAAAATTTGTCTACTTTTTTCAGTTTAGAAGTATTTGTGTTATCATGTGATAATTATAAATATTTTTCAGTTACGATTTTGAATAATTCAATGAACAATTGTGCAGATGTACACATCTCCATTTCGCTTAAACTACTATTTACATTTTTGCTTTATTACTACACAAAAGATTTCTTGAATGTCGTCTTCATATTCTACGACCCCCTCCCCACTCCCCAGGATAAAATTTAAAGTCTACATTAACATTAAACAATCACCCCCCACCTCGTCCATGAGAAAAATTATCAATGTTTAGCATTTTATCAAACGCATTGACGTTATCTGATTTACAATGAACAAATTTTATTCATTTAAGTTAAAAACATGCAAACAAGCAATCTTTCATATAATCAATTCACAGAGGCCTTGGGAACAAAATTAAATATTCTCAAAAACCGCAAAATGTTGTGAAGAAGTAGCACTTTAAAAACTTAACGAATAAAAGGAAAAAGTTGTCAGTTTTCCTACTTTATTTTTTTTGCAAATTATTTAATTCATCTGAATATGATTTTTTTTTCAAATGGGACTTTTGTGCTTAATGATATATTTCGGAAAACATTAAAGGTT